ATATATATATATTATATATAATATATATATATATTATATATATAAGCATTTTGGCTTCCTGGACTGACCAAGCGACATGGCGACATCCAGCGTTGCAACTAGGATCGTACGTGGCCGAAAGAGAAGAATTGGGCTTTGCAGCGCTGCGAGCCATGCTTTTCGAAGTGACTTTGCAGGCGCAGATGCACCGAGTAGTGGCTGCCACCCCTGTTGGTTGAGAATTGGTTCGGGGTTTATACTACTCTTATCATCTCTTATCTACTCTAGGGATTTCCACAATCCATTATGGCTTGTGAAGTTTGGCCTTTTCAGATCTTTTTAGTGCTTGCAGCAGCACTGATTAAGCAAGAGGTTTGATACATGCAGATTCTGGCACTTCAGCGTGGTGGGAATTTCTCTCGGATGGCCATTTTGATTTTCTTTCTGCACTTGACTGCAATGTCCAGACAAGACTTTTTTCTTGCCGACACGGAGATTCTTCGGACATGCGTATCATGCGTTTCGTAACATAGATAATGGGACCTGACTTTTTTTTTGTTTTAACCTGGGCCGCTGAAGGCCCACGGCACGCACAAGACCTTCCACTTTGTGTGTAGCATGAGCCGACGTGCTTCAGATCGCTTTGTGTACCTCCTCAACCACTTCCTGGAAAGCCAGCAAGCATGTTGTGAAGCCAAAGGCCGGTGTGGCCTGGTAGTTGCTGTATTCTTGCATGTATGATGCCACGGTGAACGAGAGGCAAAGCCATCTTCTAGGGTTGTGAATTATCGCTATGATATTCTTGTTTGTAGATACAATGTGACAATGTGATCTGTGATCTGTGCGGTGTTCATATGTGGCGTTATCTTGTGCAACAGACCTGTTTTCATCAGTAGAAACCAGTTCTGAGTCGAGTGAAGCATCCGCCAGGCGATAAACTGTTTGAGATACCGGAAGCCTTGAGGGCCCAGCTCTGTCCCATGTTCCACAAGGTGCCTTGAGAGCTGAGCAGCGCGGCTGGCGCTACAGCTTGTAGGAAGGGAATGGAAGGGACATGACTGGATTCTTGTCACGACCAGGTCCTTACCCTCCCAGACTCTGGTCCGTGAAAGATTGAGGTGGCGTGGTGGCGGATAGATGAGCTAATCAAGACGTCTGAGTCTGACTTTGTCAACGAAGCTTGGACTTGGTTTCTTGGGATGTGGCCCTTTGTTGCACTGGAAATTACATAAGTCTAACGTCTGTCACAAAAGTATGTCATGTAGTTTGACTTGCAGGTTTACGTTGAGTAAAACATTCAAAAAGAAAAGAGGGGAAGCACATGGGAATCATTTGTTGATGAGACAGTCATTAGAGGGAAACAGGCTCCTAATGGATTCGTGTGCAGGCGTTGATGGCAGAAAGATGTTACAGGTAAATGCCACAAATGATTGCAGTGGGCATTGAAGCAAAGCTAAAGATCTATTCATGCGAAGCAGACAGCGTGCAGGTGATAACAACTAATACAAACAAGAACACAAGCAACGATATATAAGATGACTTCTTGGTGGGGCAATTGAAGTGGGGAATGGGGGCAGGAAGAATAACTGGTTGTACAACATAATTCATAGGGATGATTGGAGGCAACCACAGTAGATGGTCAGATGGTAGGGAAAATTGTGAACACAAATGCAGACAATGCTTGCACGATGCAGGACATGCTGCAAATCAGACAAACAATGTGAGTAGTGCTATGAAGTTGCCCGTGATTTCGTGTGAATGAGATGGAGAATGAGATGAGCAGAAAGCTAAATGCTGTTTCGTGCCAGAAACATGCTTTCGACCGAGGAATATCAGCGAACACAGCTGTTGGCCCACGGACGTTCCTCACGTGTTTCGGAAAACGCACACATGGACATGCTCCGACGCCTGCAGAAGTTCACTGCAGATCAAGTCTTCCAACAGTGCATTGTGTCATCAGCTCAGATTGTACAGTTTTCTGGACCGGAAAGAAATTGGTCAAGAATTGAAAAAAACCAGTGGAAAACAATCTTCTTTCAACTGTTTGGAAATTATGCACAAATTGAATCAAATTGAATGAACACTAGGTTGCACAGAGGGTAACTAGTGACACAGTGCAACTGCTTTCCAAGGAGGGAGACGGCGCTGCTCTCTGTGCCCCGGGAGAAGTGGGATGATGTGAGCTGTGGAGAGCTTGAGCCTTTACTCGCAGGCAGGGGCTGAAGCCTGGAACCAGCAGAATTTTTCGGGACTTTCCGGATATTTTTGCACTCGAAAATGGGTCGAACTATGCTAAGAATGAGAACACAAAATGCACAATCTGTCCCCCAATCTGTTTATGCCAGGTTTTCCAGATCTGGGTTTGCTGTCGTTCAACATGAACATCTTGCCCTTTGGCGTGGCTTCCATGCGTGGCCACGAGAGCCTGCACAGCAGCGCTCGGTTGCAGACCTTTTTGCAGAGGATCCGAGCAGAGGTGGAAGCCGAGACTTTCGGAGTTCCCAAGGCGCACCCAAACACGGATGAACTCGTGTTTTCTTCGCCTGTTTGGGAGATGCAACATGATGCATAGGTGCAACATGGTGCAACTATAAATTCTAATTGTAATATATTGTAGTGGGATTTGAGAAGAATTTGACATTGATGCCAACCTTTGTTTATGATGAATGCTCGATCACAGCAATTCGCAGATGTCTGTCCATGTTTCCGGCGAGGCAGAACGCAGCCGTGCCCCTGACATCATCGCAGTGCAAGAGCTGTTTGCCTCACCCTTCGTGCCGTTTTGCTGTGCTCAGTCCTTTGCTGTTCGCATCATGGCATCTTTGGGATACAATGCGGTGATTGGACCCAATCCAACTATCCTGGATCTGGTCAGGAGGGGAAAATGGATTCTTGCTTGCGATTAGACGATTTAGACGTGTGGACGATTGTGGACGCGTGTTTTTGTTTGAACAGTTTCTTTCAGGTTGTGCCTGGGCACGATGGTGGGTGGCACTTCATATTTGACATCAGAATGACATCAGACTGATCATAACCAATGAGGTATTCTGAACCAATCTCCATCAGGACCAGCTGTAACCCTTTTTGACTATCCACATTCTCAGAGGAACTTGTGACAACATTTTTTTTTCTGCTGAGCGTTCGAACTAGCGACTCATCCTGAAACTGAGGACAGATAGTGGCTTGGTTATTTTTAGTCGCTTGCCTGTGGTAGAGACGCGATCGATCCGCTTTGAATCCGGGGCTGCTCTGGATGCCGGGGCTTGCAAAGGTGCAATGTGGGCGAGGTGTGTGGATTTGCTGAAATGCTATGTTTATTTTATGATATTTAATGGTATCTCATGTCCCCTACAGTCGTCCACCATGCATTTGCACTTCTTTTTACCCTGCGAGGTTTGAGCTTGCATCTGGAAGATATCTTGATGTGTTCAACTGCCACTTGCAAGCTTCCCACACCGGTGCAGACGGGGAAGTCTTCGAACGAATTCGAAGATCCCAAATCAAGGAGACGAGGGCAGGGGCTTTGAATCTCTTATCTAGTGCAATGAATATGGACACAGGTTGCCCCCAACTTGCATGCTTCACAAATCAAGACTTTCATGCCCACAAGAGCGCGTTTCCTAACCCCCACACAGTGCACCAGGAGCTTCGGGAGTTTATCGAACTGGCAGGTACGGAGCATCCCTATCTTCTGACAGGTGATTTCAACGTGGATGCGATCCCTGAGCCATCGGATCCTATGGGAACCTATGGCATTCCATTTCGACCTCCACGGCAGGAATCTGAGGACTATCAGCGCCTGGTTGCGGCCTTGGATCCCAAGGGCCGTTTGGTGGACCTGCTGTGCGGTCCCACCTTGACAGACCCCCTGGGGACTGAAGCGGTCGGGAAGCGACATCCCTGCACCCGACCACCTCGCTTGAGGATGCCATCTTCAGCAGGATATGTGGCGCGGCACAAGTATCCGCAACGCTTGGACTATGTCTTTTACCGGCCCACCGTGTCATCCCTGATCGAACATGAACAGTCGCGAGTGGAGCCCTTCGAAGTGGTAGATCAACCCTTTGAATATTTGAGCGATCACTTTGGCATCAGAGCTTCCTTTCGCTTCCGATGCTCATTTGCTTGGGCTCGACAGGACAAGAGTTCCGTCCAACGCTTGCCCAGATGGAGACGAGTCCTGGCCGCCCTGTCCAACCATCGCTTGGAGGTTTCACTGCTCATGATTTCGGTCCCCATGTTGTGGCAGACCTGGCGAAGCGCCATTTTGGAACGCCTCGGGATTTCAAGGCCGCCCTGGCCGCCCTGGGCACTGAGGTGGATCTGTGGTGGCATACTAGGCCAGGGACGTTGGGACGTTGGTCAAAAGCTGTCCTGCATTTCAGTCTTCCTTTGCAAAACAATTGCAAAACCCTAAAATCTTAAAACATTTCACGACATATACAACATATATCAACATATCATATACGACATGAGCATAAAATAGATACGTGGAACAAGTGTGGAACACGTATCCATTTGAGCCCAAGAGGTGCAATGTTACCTGGCCTCATGCTGCGGAGACGTTGGCAGTTCGAGGAGTCGCCACCCTTGGAGCGCACCGTATCGGTGACTGCTGAACTGGCGAGTTCGGCCTTTCGGAAGCGCTTGAAAGCCCAATCTGAGAGGTGCCTCGATCAGATGATGTGGTCATGGGACTGTTTCAACTTTCAACAAACATCATGATTTTGCATGAGTTTGTACTGTATTGGTTTGATTATGATTCTGATTCATTTTTTTGTGACAGGGGCGAATGATTGTTCCAATCTCCGTATGGGTCATAGAGTCGTGCCCGACACTCGCCTAAGGCCAGCCAAGACCATTGCATCCAGCCCCTACGACAGCTTCAATGGCTCCGTGGAATCCTATCGCCTGCGGCCTTGCATTGGTCGGCGAAGTGTGAATTCCGATGGGACCTTAGGAGCTGGGGCACTGGGATGGTGACATATTTCTTCCCGAAGATCCATGTTGCATTCTGTGAAAATGTGGCATCTAAGCTGCGAATCAATAAGACTTGAAACAAGTATGGCCTCATGGTTTTCTGATGTTTTCTGGCCAGATCTTGAGAGGATCCTACACTTGGATGAGCTATGGTGATGCTCAGTTTGAGGTCCTGCGGATCTCCTCCGGCTTACACAGGAAGTTTGGCCTGGCCAGGAGTTCACATGTTGGTCTATTGGGGGATGCCTCTGCAGAATGGCTGCTGTGTGACTTAGCCTGCATGCGCTTGGGCGTGAACACCGTGTGTCTTGCTGCCCCTGCCACCCATCCGACCACTGGAACCACTGCTCCAGTGCCAGGTGGGCTATGAAGTTTGTCCAGATCCCATTGATGGAGAAGTTAGTTGCGACAAAATGACTCAGAACAAAGCAGATAGGTGGTCAAAGGTAGTGTGTTGGGGCCTACCTCCAATGTGCTAACTTAGTTTCAAAACTGTGTGCACAACCTCCAAGTGTCGCCGGGAATTATATGGAATTATTGCACCTGAGTTTCAAAGCATCCGATTTTTTCCGATGCAGGCAGCATCCACGACTTGGAGGTCCTCCTTTGCTCCTCGGATTGGGTGGAGTACTTTGTGCTGACCACACGTCGCGCAGAGGAGCTTCCCCGGTGTCCCATCGTGACCTTCACAGCCTTGACGCCACGGATTGCTGCCTTGGCCCAACACAAAGGCACCTTTGTAATTTCTTTGTAGTGTACTGAGGTAACTCAGTGATAACTTAAGGCGCATAGGCCGCATAGGCTCAGATGAGGTCATTTGCAGTTCTGTTTGTTGGTGGAGTTGCGGCAGTTGCGTTGCGTCACTTTCTGCTGTGCAATTCCAGCTGGACTGCAGGCCTCAAGGTCTGGGACTTGCCTTTCATTGCGCATTTTGGTGAAGTCGCTGGATGGGTGCCCTACATTGGAGTAGGGGGGTTCGACGTCTTCACCACCATGTACCGCTCCAGATCAGGGACCAAGAGTGAACTGGCAGGTGGGGTGCTTTCGACATGTCACAACTTTTTGCTTCAGGTCTTTGATGAGGAGATTGATATACTTTGCGCTCAAGTTTTCATGCTGGAAACTCATGGTTTTTGAGATGTTTTGACAAAAGAACATCCTCCATGCTGATGTACTTTTCGCTGGCAGGTGTTTCCGTGAACTTGCGGGGCTTAGCCATTTGTGCGCATTCAGTTCGACAGTCCTTGGGCCTGACCAGTGATGATCGACACTTCAGCTACATTTGGCCTGCCTTCACTGCTGAGCGTTTGATGCTCCATGCAGTCTTGGCTGCTGGTGGTGCCATTGGCTTCTTTGGAGGTGTGAGGTCTCCCAGAATTTTCGAAGACATTAAGCACTTGCAGCCAACGTTCTTGGCTGGAACTGCTAGTCTCTTTAGGAGACAGATCATGCGTTTGCAACTGAAACATGTGGGGGTCTTGGGCAACTTGAGTTATCAGCTTCAGAGATGGGCGCTCATTAAATGCAAGGCGGGCACAGATAAATCCGAATCTTGGCATTGTATTTATCAGTGGGCAGTTTTGATTTGGGCTCTTGCGAAAGGCAACGTACAATAGATTACAATAGTACAATATCCCGACTTGGACCCTCAGGAAGAAACGATTTTGGAAGGAGCGATCTCATTTAGTGTTGTTGTTTCATTAGCACATGCTGTCGAACCATTTCCGGATTTTCTTTACTACATGTGCTTTGCACTGGAATTGTTATGTTGGAAAGAGCACTGAGGAATCATTGGATTTCGATGAGGAAGCATCCCTGATGAATCGCTTGGCCAAGCTTTTGCTCAGTCAGCCAATGTGTCGATGGTTGAACCGCCCCTTTGTCTTGGCCTTAGTTCCAACCCAACATTTGTGCAGATCAGCATAGTTCAACGTCATAAGTTCACCCTTTCTTGTTGGAATCCCAGGTGCTACCTCGACAAGTTCTACTGGGTTCAAAGACGCGACTTCGCTTCGTGTTGGCTTTGTGTGGCGCAGGCACCACCGCTCTACCTCCAGTGTCCTGGCTGGGGGGCTGCCGCTGCTCTGAGCCATGGTGGTTTGGGTGGTGTTCAAGTGCCACAGGTTGAGAAGCACATCAGTACTTAGTCATGTTGCATGATGCCGTGTTTGAGCAGAAAGCAACCAGCCGGTGGTTGGAGCTTTCACAAGAGACTTCCTACACTGTAAGTATCCTCTTTACAATTCCTCGCTCTGATATTTGGCGACTCAGGATCGCTGCTTGTGGATGCGCCTGCTCTTGGGCTGCCCTGTCTTGAAGAGCTTTGTCTCCGTTGAGGCTCTGGAAAGCTTTTGAAAGCCAGTGAATCAGCGAACAGTTACTGAGTTACTGAGTTACTGTTCCCTTCGCTGTTTCTGTGAGGCTGGCGGTATGGTCACCTTGGGTGAAGCTCCCTATGCAGGGGAGACTTCCCAGGCAGCTTAGAAAATATGCGAAAACCATGACGTTTCCGCCCGATGAAGCAATGCTTGTTGTGCCAGACGCATGCCAGGGAATTGGCTCCGGTTTTGCTTGTAAGCAAACAACAAGCAAACCACAAATTTTCCGAGGGCCATCATTACTGTACTGTCAGTTTCGCATGTTTATTCTTGTGATGCGGGCGTCTCGGGCGAGCTTGCCTCATTGCCAGCTTGCGGCATGGCAGGCTTTTGCTGTGGGTCGCGAACTTCCTGGTGTCTCTCAGCCAAACATTGCAGCGATGTGAGTGTGCGTTATTACCGCTCAGCAAATAGTAAAATACCATGACAATAACTGAGATAAACAACTTTATAGCCAGAAGCTACGTACAGCTCGTTTTGGTTAGTTCAGTTCACTTGGCAGAAGGGTTCCAGTTTGCTTGAGGTGCAACTCGAGCTTCTGCCTTTGAGACTGCCAGTCGCTTGGGGTAACTTTCAGCGCCCAAGGGATACTTCTCTTTGGTTTGTTGCAATACTGGTATTGAAGGGGATAGCCGGGATAGGACATATTGGCAGCTGTGAAATATTAGCTTATCACCATGATAGGAGTTTCTGTACTTTACGGGATGGCCATGCAGACGCCAGTTGTTGAGGTACTTTGCGGAATGCCCATGAATGCCCTGTATTAGTGGTTGAATGACTATCATCCCCACCTTGGCATGCATCAACGGCAACAAATCCGTTAGCCGTTCGCCGAAGTGGTGGGCATTTGTTATGGCATGCGGAGCCTGAGGAAGATGTCAAACCACTTGAAGTTCTGGGCTCGCGGCAGGCCATGCAATGCTGCGTATGGATTTGGGTTTGAGTGCACCAGTATGGACTTGGTCCAAGAATTGAAGCTATCTCTCCGGTTGGCTCTCGTCGTTATGCCAGGCTGGCATTGAGCTTGGGACACTCAGGATTACAGGCCTTTGCACAGATGAGGTGAGCGGAACCAGAAGGTGAGAGACATTTGCAGTGGATGTGAAGTTCTTGGAGTGGAAGAAGTCTTTGGATTAATTTTGAAGTGCAAGGATTTTCGCCTGGTTGGTTTCCTGTAGCATGGCCATGCAGTCTCAGCAAGCTTCTCTCGAACCGGGCCAGTCTTTCATTTCCTAAGTATCCAAGTTGAGCCCTTGTCGTGAATCTGGGGAGGCTCGGATTGGCATCATTGTCGGACGACGCAACCGCGAGCTCTTCGTTTATGGTCGCCTGGTATCGCTACAGGTGCACTGTCCGCCATAAAATTTGAAGCAAAACATCAGAAAAAGTAAGCGAAGCAAGGTAGGTTTCAAACGCATTTCGCCGAAGGAGTCTCATCATGATTGAACTGATTCAATGTTTCAGGCTTCAGATTTCGGCATTGTGGTTGTAACATGGATTCCAAGTAGCTTCAAACCCTAGCCTTTGGAGTGGAGTGAAGATCTTGTGCGATGTTTCGCATGCTCCTTGAGCCTTCCACAGCGTCAGTTGTCCTGCAATGCCTGCGGCGCCTTGTGCGAAGCACTCGAGCAGCTTCTTTTGCAGGAGGGGACACGGAGCCGGCAGTGGATGTGTTGCAATATGATGCCATATGTCATATATGTATCCGCCGCAGTAAGGACATTTCAGATACACTATCTTGGTACGGCTTGAAATGCCATCAAGCAAACCAGACAACTCAAGACAACTGGACACGCACCTTTGCCAATTTTATAGCCTTCAATATAGCCTTCAATATAGTCTTCATAAGGGTCTTCATATGCTTTGTATGCCTTCATTGTTTCAGATGGGTTTGGAGGTCACAGGTCCATGGCTGATGCAACTGCTGCTTGTGGCCAAGCCACCGCATGGTGTGGTTGGCGTCGCAGCAGTGCGGTTGGATGAGGTTTGGCGGTGCCACAGCTGCAGGGCTGGGCTGGGCTCACAAGGAAAAGGCACATCATATGTGAATGGAAAGAGCACTCAGTGGATGATTTCTATTGATTTCTGATGTCTATGAATCAAAATATTAAACATGTCTTGTATGCAATGAGAAAGATCCTACACATGAAGGGGATTCTTTGTGCCATGTCCGGTGGGTCTGGTCGCAGTTTGCCCTGCCAATTGGACAAACACGGAATGGCTTGCTCAGTTTTATTCTTGCACTCCTTGGAAACTGAAAGGGCAGAACTACCTCGGTTAAGGTCGGAGAAGTTTTACCCGATTATCGGGGCTAGATGAGTCTATATAGAGGAACAAACTAGAACTATAACGTAGACGACGTAGACAGTGACACCAAGGGAAAAGAAGATCATCCCCAAAATGACTCTGCGCAATGGGAGAATGGTGTCCTGAAGAACAAAGGGGAGGAAAGACGTCCGAAAGCTGCCGCCGTTTTTGCAGCGCACAGAAGTGAAGAAAACTTTCACTGCCTTTTCAGTCCCGGGTTTCGTTTTTGAGATTTACGTAGTTCCTCTGGTCAGGATTTGTGTATATCACACGACTGCCACTTGGCATCGCCAACTGTTTAAATGGTCCTTGTTTTCCATCTTTTTTTCATTTTTGCCACCAAAACATTATACATAGTTTTATAATGTTTTACGTAATTAGACGATGATCTATGGTAGGAACCCCTTGTTGAAGACAGAGTGAAACATGTTGGGAAACCCTAATTGGTGTCAAGGCTGGCAAAGTTCCGGAACATTGATGGCCCTTCTAGCGGAGAGGACAGCCTTTCTTGTCCAGCAGAACAAACATCTGATTCATGAATCGTAAATTGGCAAATTCTGATGCGAAACCAGAGGAGTAAACGATTTCGCAAAACGTTTGTGCAGTGCAAATAGTTGCCTGGGATCACCAGGACCTGTGCAGAGATCGGCGCATCATTTTGTTGTGCTTGAGGGAATTGCAGAAACATGCCACAAGGTGCCAACATTTCGATGGTTCTTGATTGCCTCATGAGACTTCAAAGACCGAAACAAGGAATTGCCGTAGAGGTATTATTTACACAGAACTCTGAGTCTTCAATCTACAGGCAAACATGGGGATGGATAAAACAGATAGGACCTATGATGCCATATTTGGGGGATGAACATGAACTTGCCAGCTATTCTAATCTTCACAGGGTATCACGCTTTTGATCCATTGATCCACATTTGCCAAAGTGCTCTTGCAGGTTTGGTTTCTCCGAAGCCGAAAAGCCCAGGGCATTGCATTTGCAGGCCACCCCCTTCTCAGTCGAGGTGCCGATGACAGCCATGGTGACCGGGCCCATTTTAGCACACTGGTCACAGCATCGTTCGCCAGGCAGGGCTACAAACGCCCACCTTCCAATTGCGCAGAGATCAACTTCTTCCCAGAGTGGATCATATCATTGAGTCGCTCTATGACCCTCGGAGATATACTGCTATACTGCTGACTGAATTTAAGCTGTCACTGGAGTAGTCACAAACACACGTGGGCCCACTAATTGGGACACGTGCACATGTGATATGATTACTGGCATTGAAGGGTTTTACAATCAGACTCTTGGGGAAGCTGAAGGATTACCCGCAGTCCTCATTTCGCTGCCTCTCTTGGCCTAGGATGACTTGGATTGCTCGCCCCAATCCATGTACCAGGCACGGTTCGAGTTGTGATATTGCAAGGTCGCCTTTCAGCTGTTTTCGTCCGGAAGAAGCAACACATCCCAGGAGCCCATGGTTCAAAGGCGCGGATTTTTCAGCTTCGCCAAGAAGACGACGTAGCTCGGTGACAACAGAACTGGGTGATGCTCACAACCCACAGGAGTGGACAAAGGGGATGTAATTATGCAGGCCTTTGGTCTCCTGTCATTAAGCAAAAGCTTCTTACTCAAACGATTCAGCTGACTTATGCGAGTAAGGCATGCCAGCATACTTGGTAGCAACATCTTTTTGGCAACCTGCTACCGAGGTCCTTTCAGACCCTTGAGGGGATTTGAGAGGCACTTGAGCTTTGAGGCGGGCAGTGGATCCCAGCCATTTTGCTGCTTTGCTGATTCCCCCGGGCTACCCTTTACAGTTTACAGATGTGTTTGCCGCAGCGACTTTGTTGGTAAATCAAACTCATGGGTGGCAGGGATTGGCAGGGTTTCTCGATTCATCGACTTGCTCGCAGGTCGTGTGGACAGCACACTTGACTCAGTTGCGTTGGTGCTTCAGGGCCTTTGTCATGTCGAGCTCGTGAGGCCGTGGCCAACCAGCTACGGTTCTTTTTTTAGCCGATCTGACAAAGTGATACAAAGTGAGCAAGTAACATAAGTAACCAGGGTAGAGCAATGGCTGATTTAAGTTCTCGGTTGATGTTTGTCACTTGATGTCGACAAGACATTTGCAGCTGACGAGCCGAGCCGCCTGGGCTTTGCCCATGTTGAATTTTCCCAAAGGCTGACAAAGAAAGAGGCCTGAAATCTGTGTGAAATGTGTGTGAAATCAGCTCGCAGCCGCTGCAGCCCATGGCTGGCGGCTCCTCCAAAGTGAGGCTTGGCAGCTCCAATGCTTTAAGGAAGACAAAGCAGCTTAGTGACCTGGCAAGCTGAGGCAACTGAGGCAACTGAGGCAACTGAGGCAACTGAGGCAACCTGGTCTACGAATCTGTACGAATCTGTACTGTACCTTACTAACCCCATGGGTTTCTCCTTTTCAGCATTGCGTTGAAAGACATAGATTTGCCAAAGCTAATGTTTGAAGTTTGAAGATTAAGATTAAGATGGTTTAAGAGTTTAAGATGATTGAAGTCTAAAGGTGGGCGCCATCTGCGATGGCAGGATGGCAGTATGAAGGTCGATGCAATCCGGTCGGTTCCCACAACATGTCACACATGCTTTCCCACCTTGTAGACGTGTCATTTGCAAGCCTTTGCATTGCACTTTCCGCCGCAGTACGTGCATCTTCCCATCCTCAGGAAAGCACAGGTGATGTGCGCAAGCGGGTAAGAGGCATTGAGCTTCCAAGTCCATTTTTCCCAGTGCGTGCCTCCGCCCTGATTGCGTTCTTTAGCGTTGCTGGTTGGAAACCTTCCTCACCGAACAGCTGACGCGACATGGGTGTTGGCAGGAAAACGCGTGGCTGTGGCGACCTCAGTCTTCGCATGTCTTCGCTATTGGCAAGTTGCGGAACGTGTTCCTCTCGGGTGATTGATTGATATTCTTGCTTGATTTCGTTTGGTTATTTGCTTGATTTGTGTGAGCTGGAGATGTTTCATATTTGGGTGTGGAGCAAAATTTCAGGCCTCCGGGACCACAGATTTTGATCCCCAATAGCGATAGCAATGGCTTTGCGCATTCTTTATTTCAGGGAGAGGATATTTGCAGGCATTCTATGGCATTCTTGGTTTTCACTGATTCAATGAATAAGTGAGCAGCGGTAAAAAACTGGCATGCCCTGGGTCATGTGTAAGTCAAAGTTTCAGGTAGAGGTCTCGGAAGCTCCGTGGGTAGAGACTCGAAATCAATCGCGCTGCAGGTTGCTACAGGCCCCTAGGGATTGGAAGATATTGGAAGTGGAGCGATTCAGGTCGCAGGGTCTCGCTTGATGGTGGCTTCGGTTTTGTCTCGTGCCTGTTCTCAATATTGTTTTTATAGTGAAATTTTATAGACAGCTGAATTGGGTGTGTCAGGCAATTTCAAGGGTTTTATCATATTGGGTAGGGTAGTGCGACGACCTTGTCGACGGTTGTCTGTGCGCGTGTATGCATGTGCCCTTGAGAATGCCAGTGAATGGACTGCCGATTATGTTATGTTATGTTCTGTATTGTATTGTATTGTATGGTATGTATGTATGTATGTCTGTATGTATGTATGGTCGTATATACACACACAGAAAGATGACAATGCAGGCATGCATACAAGCAGGAGTATCAATTCTTAACCCACTTGGCTCTCTGTGCGCTGATGTCAGGCAAGGACGTCCACGTCGACAAAAACTATGACAACGACCGCAATTCAGGCCAACGTGGTTTGGGATGCACCAGGAAGTGGACCCCCGAACTGACAGAAACCATTTAATTTTTGTGGAAAAATGCATGCCAAAATATTTTCGATAGAGGCAGGCAGAAAGAAAATTTGGCGGATGGGCCAAGAATTCAACTTAAACGAGTTTCAGTTGCTAAATGCACTTTCGGGATGGTGAATGTTTGTGCCTTGGGTACGAAGATTATAGAGTCTTTTTTTGATTCATGCAATTTTGATACCCAATGAAACACACAGGTACGTTGTGGTGAGGTTCAATTTAATTTTGACCCCTAAGTTTTGTTCTGTGCTAGCAGTCAATCGCGCAATGAGTCGATGCCATCTTGTCTTCGAACCATACAAGGCATCCCGTTTGAGCTGATTCCTGTAAAAACCTTTGTTTGGGTAATTGCCACCACCTATGATTATGAAAAAATGCCAGATAGAACGATCAACTGGGAACTTCGCCGCTTTATGTAGACCCTCAATGAAAGAGCTGCACGGTTTCCAACTTTGATCAACATCCATCAAGAACCAAGACCCACCCCTGGTTAGTTGCGGGTTTGTTTATTTTGGGGCATGAATATATGGGGGAAGATGAGATTATTGGCTAATTATTGGTGCCCCGTCTCGTTCCGCTGCCAGTGCTCGCAAGGTCCTTATGAAAGTTGAAAGTGTGACGGCCCCGCCAGGGACAAAGGCCACCGCCTGCTTTAATCTTGCTGGTTGCTGGTGGTCGTAGTGGTAAGTGGCATCGGCACCCCTGACATGTCGCAGCTAAGATTTTTAGTCTGCTTCAGTTCAACAGTCTGCCTCGCACGCAGGCGTTTCCGACATTTCGCATGAAATCGACATTTTGCACGAATTGTTTGCAATAAGCTGCAATTTTCACTCAGCCATATTTTCATATGGGTTTTGCATCCGCTGCCACTGCAGATTGACATGCTCGCAGCCAACCCGATGGAGCGGCCTGGGCCTCCGAGAGCTCCAAGGGTAGTGGCCCTGTGCGCTTGTAGTTGTGACGGTCGCCTGTTCCAAGGTTGTACAAGAGATGGGCCAGGGCAATGAAGTGAGCCCCTAAGGGGCACGGGCACCCTCTTCACGTCTCACTGTGATTGACTGAAAGATCTGATAGTAGCTGGAAAAGCTGCGACAATTAGCGAAAGCGACATACACACATGCATAGATCCATCTATCCATACTTCAGTACAAACTGAGATAGACAGAAAGGCAAAAACACATCCCTTTATCCCATCTTGCATGTTGGCGATTCGCATGTTTGTTGGACTGCTCCAATTGACCTTGTTTGGTTTTCCAGTTGGTCCAACTATTTGGCAGCGAGAGCTTGTTATGTCGCCGCTGCCATGGTCATTTACATCAACCTGCCAATGGCCGCAATTCAGCTCCATTGGCCCAAAAAATTCTTTCAAGAGATTTCCGACATGTAGCATTGTGCAGCAGTTTGTCCAGAGTTCAGTGGTTTCGCGGCTTCCCATGTCATGCAAAGGGACTGGACAGAAAAACAACAATTTTTCTTTAGATGGTGTTTGCTAGTGGCCTCGCAAACAAGGATATGCGTTCGCATGGATTCAGGATACGAAAACCACAGACAAACCAAACTTAATTCAACCACTGCGGATTTTCAGTTTGCATTTTTGTTCATGCCGCGCGCGTTGGTTTGCGCCCAAGCATTTCCACCGCTCTTGAAGCAGGCAGGTGGCCATCGGTTTTGCAGTCTCAGTGGTACCGGACAAAACGTTTTTAGGTGGTTGACGGCACCACCTTCCGGCACAGCCCGTTCAAAGTGGTTCAACGCCACATATTCCGCCTTGCGCCAGGCTGGCGGAGTTGCCAAAGACTATTTGGCCCTTTGCCGGGCATTGATAGATGGCCTTGGTTGGGAGGTGACGTTGTTTTCACCTGTGAACATCCGAGAGTCTGGTGAGGAAGACGTGACGATTCCCAGATGCACTATGATGAAGAATTTTGTGTCTGCAGTTTTTGTTCTGACATCTTTCAGACGTTCTGTCTCGTTCCAAGAGGAGGAATCCGCCATTATGGTTCAGTGTGTTTTGTTTTCTACCATTTGGGTAAGCTTCTATTGGCAATAAACTGTGGCGAACTGACCTGACCACCAAGAAGATTGTGCGTTTTTTTGGCCAAAGACTGTGCTATCTGCCTGCTTTGGCCTGCTTGTATCAGGAGATGGTTGCTGACCGGACAGCTGGTGCACGCTCCAGCGACAGCTGTGGAAGCCTCCACCACGGTCGGAGTGGCGCTTTTCATGGATTTCTTTTCGGTGACCAACGCCTTAGTTTTTCTGCGGCTGTTGATGTTTGGAGGCAAATTGTTTCTGATCGTGTTTGGAATGTCTGTGGTGAATTGTCCTTCTTTGGGATGACATATTTCAAAATAGACAGTTCCTGAACTTCAAGGCAAACATAGTGGCACTATATCACTATGAAGTGTGGCAATTTGTTGCAGGTTTTGCGAACACTTGAGTTGCCATGATGTTCTCTAGTCAGTGTCTCTGTATGTGAGGCCATGACTTGTGCCTCATCGACGACAGCTGCTTGCGGCTAGCTCCACTGATGCTGTTGCGAAGCTTCGGGATACCCAGCATCGCAACGACCCATTCAGATGTACCTTCACACCCCCTCTATGACCAGTCCATCATGCCGAAGATCATGTGGTGGCTGCATCTTGCATCTGCTTTTTTCGCAACAAGCCATGCAACTGTTGCCAATGCCTACGCCAAATCATTGTGGGATCGATACAAAGTTCCCGTGCACAGCGTCTGGCCGCCGGTCCTTTGGTCTGAAGCCTTCCGACGACCTCTCAGGGACTTTGCAGCGGCAGCAGCAGATCGACGAGCGAAGTGGGTTCAACGCTTTGGGTTTTCGCCCAGGGCTATCTTCCTTTTTGCAGGTCGATGGTCGGCAGAGAAGAGAATCCATTTGTTGATTGATGCAATGCCACAGGACTGTGGCTTAATCATTGTGGGGGACAGTGACGCAGACTATGCGGATGAGATTGAGGCAAGTGGGAGCTTTTGTTCGATGGCTTTTTGTCAAGCACACATGACAGGAAAGGTTCGAATTACATCAATCAACCGCGGGAAACCCAATGAATAGAACGCACTGATCACCTTCTATCATAGTCATAGTCATGGTCATAGTCTTACCACGTCGTGAAGTACAAAGCCGTACAAAAAGATCAATGAGCTCAATTCGCAGGCCAGTGCCCAAAGAAATGTACTACCTGAAAGAGGTTGGAGGGTGGGGTCCCAACATGCGGACTCGGTCACTTGTCAAACGAGTCAAATGGTTTTGGTTGCAATGACATGCATGACCATGTCCCTCACCAAGAGTGAACATAGCTGCCACTCGCGATTCCCAAGTTATTCGGTGTATCCCGGTGCCCTTTGGGCCTCCAAGCAGGCATGCTCGGGGCAGAAGAGCTTCGTGTTGCCTATGCAGCCAGCGATCTCTTTGTTTCGGCCAGCACTTGCGAGACGCTGGGAAACACCGTCGTCGAAGTGTGGAGCCCAGCTGCGGCTCTTGGGTCGGCTCAACTTGCGATGTGGTAATCTATACTTCTAAGTTTTGGACGTGTTGAGTTTTCTTTCGGCGCCTTGGGATCTGATCAGAAACTGCATGACAGTGATACTTATCAGATCTTGATATACATAAAGATAAAGAAGATATATAAAGTATAAAGATTGATGATCATTAGCTATCATTAACTGGTATATATATAAGATTATATAAGCATCCAGCAGGAATACCCCAGGGAACCATTCCACCAGGCGTGGAGTTCGGGCACACCGGTGGCGATCCAACCTGTCGGGGGACACCTGGAATTTGTCAAGGCACGACTCGGCACGAGCGCCGGAATGTATGGAGTTGAAGATCCTCTGCCAAATACATCAATTACTGAGTACTGTAGAAATATATGTAAGTTTACAGGTATACTTAGTTTTTGTTCATGTTTCATGTTTGTCATGTTTTGGAGGATGCTGATGATTCTGATTAATGCGCTTGACTTTTACTCAAATAGATCGCACCATCAAGCTCCGGTCCCAAAGATACACACACACAATATATATATATATGTATATGTACATATATATATATATATATACATGCACATATATGTATATATATACACAGATTTTTTGCAGCTAATGTTTGAAGATGTTTGAAGTCGGTGGATGCCATCCGCGGCAGGATGAGGAGAATTCCTATTTCGTTGACTTTGACGACAGTGGCGTCGCTCGGAAACGTCTTTCGTCCATTGTTGCTGCAGGCACTTTTCGCGAGTGTGGGAAGGGTTGCTGTTGCGAGTCTCCAAAGAGATGGTCCTTTGGCTACGTAGAAAGCTCTTCCAACAAGACTTTTTGCTTTTGATTCATCCAATTTTCCAGATTTGAGGAAACTTAGTTGCTTGGTTGTGATTGTCACGCGAGGAAATCAGCAGGAAATTTTCACAAGTGTTTTCATGAATGGTCTTTCATATTGAATGAGATGGATTGTCTTGGTTTCACTGTTCTGATAATTTTGAAAGTGTCACAACCGCATTCAAGCGCTACAGGTGTCAAAGCGGCTGTGGAGCCAGCGCTCTCTGAAATGGGGGAGCACTTCCGGCACCTGAATTTCCCTGCAGAAATACAGAGGTCTTGGGCGGGAAGCAGCTTGCATTGGCTGTTTGCAGGTGATTTGAACATTGCTGTTTGCTATGGACTGAGTGGACATGAGTGGACCAAAACATTGTGAACTTTGTAGGATTGGGACTGCAGAGACTTTGGAAATTGTGTCTGAATACAGAAGCTACTGAAAACAAGAGATGCTTTGTCCTGCGATTCACAAGCCAATGCCATGCCATGCTAAATCCTTGAAGCTTGAGAGGCTTTTGCTAGACCCTGCCCTTTCGGCAAAGTCAAAATGGCGAGCAATGAAAGGGTGGCGTTGGATGCTGGAGATTCTTGTCCGTGTGATTCTACTGCTAGCGTGTGGCCTCATTTGGCCCTTTACTTCAGAGTCTTGGCTGGAAGGGGCGGTTCGAATCAAGCAGTCACTTTCTCTGTCATGTAGTATATGTAGTATGTATATTGTAATATATTGCAGTAGATGTAGTTTAGTAAATAAGTTTAGACAAGTATAAATAGATAAAACACTAAATACATGTTTACTTTAGCTGGGAAGGGTTTTCACGTGGAAGAGTCCAGATACAGACAACAGCCACTCCCCCATTGTTGATGTCGAGCTTGCAAAGGTTTGGTCCCGTGCCTACTTCGCGGTGTCCTGCGACCCGAAGTATAGGCCACCTGAGTTGTGCGGTGTCAAGCTGTTTTTCTTGTTCGCATGATCAAGGCAAAGGATGTTGGAGCGCACAAATTTGATAGGCACTACTCAAAGCATGTCAGAGCATACATTTGTGACTCTTCATTGCTATATCATACATGCATGACATAGCATGATATTAAACACCCACACGCACACACACACAGAAATACATATTTGGCATGATACACACATGTACAACACACACACACAAATATATGTATATATATATATTATATATACAAACAGACAGACACTATACACATTTACATATAGACATTTGGTCAACTTTTTCCGCAAAGGGTTTTTACATGTTTTTGCCACTTTTGACCCACCCCTAAACGGCGGGAGGCACGTTCCTGCGGGCAGCGCCAATGAGCCTGACTTTGAGTCCAAGCCCTCAGGATGACTTGGAGAGTCTCGCGCGTGTGTGAATGGGGTGGACCCCGAAATAACAATTTTAAATCATGTCAATGTGATTCAATGTGATTCAATATGGAAAATGATGAGCAACCATTGGCTTTTGGGATACTCGGATACCCTATTTTCAGACAGCGGTTTGATCTACAGTCATCCAATGAGTGATCCAAGTGATCCCTGCATGAACTTCTGGGTTTGTGATGAGTTGGGTGAGTGGACGGGTGGATGGGCAGCATCAGCTCCGCGCAGGATCTAACTCTGAATCCTGCTGTTCGACATCAGTGTCTGACAGTCACAATGAAAGTGCAAGGCCATCCGAGTGAGAAGGGATGCACTCAGCTACTCTGGTGAGAACTAACCAACCGTTTTATACTTCGTAACAGGCGGGTAGTACAGGCTTGGGACCGTATGGAACCCACCGGCAGCGACTAGCGCCCAGGCCACTTGTTCATAGTGAAAGCTCCTTTGTCCCCAGCTCAGTTGCCGGTTTTTTAAGTAGGTCCAAGTCCTCTGGGCCTATACCGTATTGTATGCAAATGTTAGAACTGTCGTTTTTTAATGGTTCTACCATGGTATGATTTCACTGTATAAGGAATACACTGTGCATGCAGATAGATCATCCCTACTTGTTTAATAGAAACAACATTTCCAGTCTGTGGCCAAATTGCACGCGCTCCTGCCATTGACACTACATTGCCAAAGCAAGCTCCAGACCCCAGGTCTAATTCACGGCCTGGAAGCCTGCGCTTCAAAATAAGCGCCGGAAAGAAAAACAATCGCCTGGACTCGTGATCTTGGCAAAAACCATAGTGATAAGCCATTTGTGAGCTGCAACATGATGCAGGGTTGTGAGACAAGCACAAGATTTGCACTGACACACACACACAACAATAAGTCAAGGACTTGGCCCGTACACCTTTACTTTCACCAAGTCTGTCACCATCCTGTCTGATTCATCAGATTCCTTCAAAACTTGAAAGGCCAGGAGGAAGTGGAGGTGTTGATTTGAGCGCCGGTTGACCACTGATGACACTGCCGCAGCTGTTCTAGTTATGATCCCAGCCTCCAGCCTTTAGGGGCGTCCAGCACTCTGTTTGCTGGGCCCTAGCCCTGTCACCATGATGATGCCTGATATCGCTCTGGCCTCAGAGAGCGCAGCCTAGGGGTGGGGACTTTTTAAGGAGAATCATGTTGGAACGAGCTTTCAATGTTCCAGCCTATCATCCAAGCACCGAGAGAACGGCTGGGTCCCAGGATGGCAGCCTGAAGTCCGCCAGCTGGGCTTCAGACTTCCTGCGACACCTGGCGCGGGAGGCGGTGAAAATCTGGGCCACACCTCCATGGCCCTGTGACTTGTCGCTGTAGCGACCATTAGGGAGAAACCAACCCACCAAATGAATGTTTTTGGTGCACCGCAGGAAGTGGATCAGGCGCTGCAGATCGCCAATAAGGACCGACCTTGCAATGGCATGTAGGGTGGCCATAGTTTACTGGAGTAATCCTGATTCCTAAGGTGAGGGACAAAAATCCTGGTGTAGATGGGCCTACACCGAAAGACACTTCACATCTTAGCTATTTATACACCCAGGACCTTTCCATCAAGCTGCTCCTATCCAGAACCTTTGTATTTGTACAGTTGTTTCTATCCAAAAGCATCCAAGAGCTTTTTCATCTCTTGTCTACGTCAGAATTTTCCTATCCAATAGATTTCGCTCCTCCAGCTGCTCCTATGCAGAATCCACTTTTTCCATCCTCTAGCTATGTTTTCTTACCCAACAGCCCCCCGATACACATCTAAATGTTCCACTCTAGCGGCCCCTTTTTGGAGCTAGCTGTGCCCGATACACATCCAGCCCGCAACGGCCATCAAATTTAAGCCATTTTTGCATCATATGGGAAAGAGACTGGCCTGCCATGGCCATACATATATACACAATATATTTATACAATATATATATAATATATCTATACAATATATATATATATATAAATTGTATAATATATATATATATGTATATTATAATATATATATATACATATGCAATATATATATATTATACTATATATACATATATATATACACATGTATATACACATATATCTATTTACATGCATGTTTACATATATACACAATACATATAATATACACATATCTACATCAGTATATGATAGTATATGTATACCCATACATCTCACAGTATATTTGTAAAGATCAATTTTTTATTTAGAAATTTTCATGTGTAGTTTCGCTCATCCCATGGACCCCCGCTTCGGCCAGGCCCTGGACGCAGCACGAGACGCCGGCACCAAGGCCAATGCCTTTTTGGCCCTGGCGCGAGCGCAGCTGCTGGGGCGCGAGCTGCTGAAGGCCGTGGAGGCGGGGAATGGATGGCTTGGGAGAGGAAAATCAGAAGAGGGAACCATAGAATACCATGATTTGTACCACCCAATTATATCCAACTGAATGAGGGTTTCCAGAAGATTTTCCTGCCAATTGAGGGAGTTGATGATTATAGAATTACTCTTTTTTCTTCTCTGATCGCTGATCGGTGTGTGTGTGTGTGTTCTTTTTTGAATTGGCACCCATAGTTCAATGACTCTCTCGTAATCTGACCTGGGATCACTTGCGGGATGTTTTCCTGATGATAATAATAATTCATGTAATACATATATATATATGTATATATATATATCACACCATAAACACCAAGAATAGCTAAATTTGAACCTGCACAGTCAGGATGATATTATAGGCTGGTTTACTATCCCTCCAATTAACATAGACCCTGAGAACGATCCACTTTTATTTCGGAAAGTAGTCTTCCAACTTGCCAGGTAGCAGGGTCTACGTCAGTTCAGGGGCTGGTGCCCCCATGAATCCAATACAGTAAAATAGGGACATCATGGGATAAAAATCGGGCTTGGAGTGTTTTCGCCAACTTAATGTGATAAATTGGGGTTGTCCAAACATGAATGAAGGGAAAGCCCCAAGTTATGACCATTCTCATGGGGATGGTGATGAACCATCAAAGCTTGGTACCCTATTTTAAGACAACCCCCAAACGGTAGTTGAAAGACACTGAAATGGTACAGTAACCCCTAATTGGGGTTTAAGCACCAAATATGGCCAGAAATGATGCTTGGCTGGATATGATTTGATATCCTGAAATGATGGTGACCTGGTCAGGGTTTAAGGACCATCCCCATGCCCCAAACGCGTCAACCTGTTTGATCTGGAATTTGTCGAGAAGTTCCGTGGGTGGATATCCATGAATTACTATCACCCAAATCTGGCAGTACTTTGTGTTTTTTGCTCCTCATGATCTTTGACCAACTACCTAGCTTCAGTGGACCAATGCAAAAGTCTCCGTGAACAGTCGCGAGAAAGCTGGCTGCAGGCTGCTGAGCAGGGTGTGGAAGCTGCCAAAAAAGTGCCGAACTTATGATCGGAATTGGCAGCCTGTGAGGTCTGGTGTGCATCAAGTTTTTTTTGGTTTTGTAAGTATTGCAGAGTTTTTCCAGTATTTTTTGCAGCTGCAAACCTGGTTGAACCCCATAGCTGATTTGCACAGCCATGGCGTTTGTGTAACTTTCAGGCAGATGCGCTGACTCAAGCGACAGCCCACCAAATTGCGGCCAAGGCGCTCCAGCTTTGAGCATCCATTTATACCTGAGGGCCTCATGTGTTTCCATCTTTTTCTGAGGGTCCAACATTGCGTTTTGGTGGTTGAATTGTGGTTAACCACCCAAAAATGGTGATGTTTGTGGGGGAAGTCCGAGGAAACCAGTAGCACTGGTTGTGTATTTGAAGTTATCCCCAAATCCCATGGTTTTTGGTTTTAAGTTTTCTTCACATATTCTTCTCCAAAAAAATTGGGAACGTTGGGGAGACCCATTCCAGGCCTATCTCGCCACCTTCCAAGTGCCCGAAGCGACTGCCGCCGCCGATGCGGCCGTCGAGGTGGTTCCAAGCTTGGCTCGTTAGGGTTCCCCCAAGAAATGGGTTTCGCCATGAAAAATGGACGAATTTTGGATGATGGGTTCCCCCATTAAGGACCCCCCATGTCTTGGAGAGAATCCAATTTAGGACTGAACTTGTAGGTTTTGAATTGAATTGAATGTGTTTGAATCATTTAGATCCTGAAAGACATGGAAAGCTACAGCCTACAGCCCATGACTGAGGCTCAAGGAAAAGCAGAGGCAGCCGCGTTGACCACACGTGCTCAGGTTGGCTGCCGCCTCGCATGTTCCAAAAAGACAATCCACGAATCTGAGATGGACCACAGTTTAATAGTTTACTATACTTCTTGAATGCAGTTGCATTTTGTGCCGCGGACTTTGCTTCACCGCTTTGGATGCTATCACATGCTTCTCGTAAACCGACCCGACAACAAATCTAACGATCTGTTGCCTCCTGCTGCTGTGGCACCAGGTGTGTCTTGCACGAGACAAGAAGCAGGAGGCCTTAAAGGTGGCCGAATTGCCGGTGCGTCAAAGGTTTTTATCAAGTATATCAAGCATTCCCATAGATGTGGATTTCGAAATATGGTTACATTAGGATTTTGCAAGTGAATGAAGAGGTTTCAAAGGTGGATGCTTGTTACTGCGGGACTTTCTTGGACTAATTCCTATGACACGGCTGTTTCTAGCGCTTGGGTCTTGGGGGATGCAATCTTGATTGCCTAAAAAACCTAAACGGCGTGCTGCTTGGGGAATGAGCTTGGTTGCAGATAAGATCTATGAGGCACCGTAAATCTCGGATAATAGAGGACATTGGAGATGCTTTCCATTTCTTTTTGCATCACAGCAGCACCCTTTCCTGACAAAAGGCAAGTTTCAGATGTTGTCCAAAAAATGATGCAGCCAGGTGTTCGCACTATTGGAAACCATTCATGCAGTCCTCTTTGCAGGTTGCGAGACAAGCAGTATCTCTCTTCAAGGAGGGCAAAGACCAGCAGGGAGAGGCAAGCCAGAGTTGGAGTTAGGTGATTCTGCAGAATTGCTTCATGTTTTCATGTTGTTTGGTATTTTTTGGTCATTCTTGACAAATGAATTAAATGAATGACCCAAAAACAGCCGAGGCAGCTGCTGGGGAGGTGGCGGTGCGTGGATGCCTTGCAGCCAAGAAAGGTAGCGAGGCACTACGTGCAGCCAATGAGGTGGGACCGCGTCCAGAGATGGATTCCATGTGATGATTTCATTTCTGGATGATTGTTGGTGTTGTCGTTGTCCAAACATTTTCCGACTTTTCTTTCGCAGTAAGCCTTTGCTATCAATTTCTTACTTGGGTGTACAGTATCTCTATCAGATTCTATCAGTATCCATCTTGACATTTCCGTGTATTTTTTTCGATCTGTTGCATGGAGGCATCAGGCGGATTCCTGGGCATTCATCCACAAAGGGGGGCTATACCGTATACCGTATACCGTATACCCAACAAGTGGCATTTTACCGTAACTCAATTTATTAAGTATGATAATGTATGCTTCCTAAAATGGGGGGACCCCAAAATCATCCGGCTTATACATATCATATATATATATAATTATATATATATATAGAATCAATGGAAAAACCAAGGGTTTGGGGTACCCGGGGTACCCATATTTTGGGAAACCTCCAAATGATGTTGATCCTTTGGATTTGGAGGTGCTGGCCATCTACCAGGGCAGTGGCAGCGAAGGGGAGAGCAGTGCGCTGCTCTTGCTGGCGAAGACAAAACAGGTCAAGTCGGTTGGGGAAGGTGGCATTAGCATATACCGAATCATATAATATAATATGATATGATATGATATAATATAATATAATAAAATACAATATAATATAATATGATATAATATTACATATATATATATATATAAATGTCTATATATGTCTAAATATATGTAAGGTTTGTATCCTCGTCACTATCATCATTTTCTCCTTGGGTTTCTTCCTTTTCAAACATGCTCGCTGCAAACGCCACGTTTGCCCACATATCCATTGACATGCTCAAATCCCTTCGTAGGGCTAGCGTTTATTACGTTACAAAACCTAAAATCCTAAAACCCTGAAATCCTAAAACCCTAAAGTCAAAACCCTAAATTAGAACCCTCCCTAAATCCTAAAAACCTAAAGTCAAAATCACTGCGTATAGCCAATGTTTTCATTTACCCTCTGGTGACGTATATGATATCGTTGGGGTGTGTTACAGTATTTGGGCATGGCGGAACGTGGGGTTTGGCGCCAACACGTTTTTCTTTTTGTACTTGTCGTTTTTGTCCTCATCATCCTGCTCGGGATTCTCAGGATTTCTCATCCGGATCATCATCCTGATGATCATCCTGATCTGCCTTTTCCTCCTCATCATCACCAGCACAACCACAACACCAATAGTTGCTCCTTCTGGACTTCTTCTTCTTCCTCTTCCTCTTCCTCTTCTTCTTCTTCTTCTTCGTCTTGGTCTTGGTCTTCGTCTTCGTCTTCTCCTCCTCCTCCTTCTTCTTCTTCTTCACGGTGTTCATGCGTTGCAGCTTTGATCAACTTGATGTTCATCATCGAGCTACGATTGTTGCTCCGATGGCAGCCTCAAAACCGAACCTCCATCCCGGCATTGGCTATAAGTGTTGGTTAATGGGATCATTCTGGCAGACCATCTTTTTCAAGAATGGCATGCAGCAGGTTTGTCAGATCACCATTGCCATACATAGCATTTCCACTGAGTTCTCCGAAGTTCCTGAAGGAGCATTGTCGTGCGTTCCATGCGTTTCTACACCGTTGTCAGGCTCTTGGAGAGTCCAGTGAAGCGCAAGAGCTTGCCCGAAGCTCAGACATCTCTGATTGTCCAGTGAATGACTGGGTGTTCTTAGTCATGAATGGGAATGGACATGGGTGCTCTTGGCTACTACCTGTGCCAGCATGTGAGGCGCAAAAGGCAGTTGACATTTTCGAAAAGAAGGGCGATCGACAGATGCAGGTGCCGGTCGCCTCCTTTTGGCCGAAGCTTGTGATTGACACAAGTTGGAAATGAGAGAAGAATTCTCCACCTGTGGTCTGATTCCCCGCTCTGCAAATTCAGGGAGTCACTCTCAAGCAGCTGGCAGACATATGCTTGGCAGGCCAGCAACCTAGTGTAGATAGGGATGGGATTCCGGGATACACAAAAGCAATGCCGGAACTTGCAGGTTGTCGCAGGCCTCAAAATAGGCACAGAAGTGTGGTTTAGGGCCATTGCCATTCCTTTGATATCAGACAGTGTGAAAACTGTACACTGTACACCTATCAGACAGTGAGCTGTGGCACCAGGTGGACACAACATTGATGGTGAGGATCTGAGAAAAGTCTTGGAACCAGGAACCTACGCAGCATTTTTGCATGTTGTAAGATGACATGGACTGCGCACCACAATTTTCACCACAATCCCACATTCAAGACATTCCAATCCTTGGTTTGTGTCCAAGGTTGGCAGTACACCAGAGAAGCGTTGGAGTGCTTCCGAGAAGCAGGGCATCAGCGTGGAGAGGCCACAGAAGCTGCTGTGGTGATTTGCGACGAAATCCTGAAGACAAGATTTGGGTAGGGCTGTTTTGAGATATTTTACGCTGAGATGATCAAGATGACAAGAAGTCCATCCAAACTTGGGATCTGGATGGGTCGAGTATTTTTGATTTACCCTCTGGCTATTTAACATAGCCATGGAAAATGGCCTATTTATAGATGGTTTACCTATTAAAAATGGTGATTTTCCATGGCTATGTTAAATAACCGGATGGTATATTCCTAACTCATCTCATCTTATCTCTACATCCCATGGATTCCCATGGTAACCATCCCTGGATCCACCTGCCAGGCCTCGACACTCTGCCAGATCGCTGCCGCGCACGTGGAAAATGGTGTCTTTGTGGCCGTGGCATGTTGATCCCGCCTGTAGCTATGGCACCTGGGGGAAGTTAAGGGCTGGCTGGCTTGGAACCGACTGGACTAGACATATGGATATGTGGATACATATCCAGTTTTTGAATTTTTGTGAATTGAATAAATAATCAGGATTCATGGGTGCCAGATACAGTAGCTCTTGGCCAAAGTCGACGCTGGAAGGCTAAGACTCAATAGCTCCAAACAACGTCCATGCTTCCCTCGCCAGGAAGAGGCTTTGCGGATAGCGGAAGAGGGGGTGGCCATGTGTCGAGAAAGGAGCGACAGGCCTGGAAGGCAACATTGCATTCACATTTTGCATAGTATCTGCCGCAAGTGTCATTTCTTGCGTGTGTTTGCTTACTCTTCGAGCAAACGCATGGCAAAGTGCAACTCCAGTTCATGTTCCAACCGGCTTACCACTGCAATCACGTGACACACGTTGAACGGTTTTTAATGATGTCAACGTGCCTACAACACCTCGACAAAGTGAATCTTTGCAGCAGAGAAGTGACTTCTCAATCCCAGGTTTGGTTTAGGAAACCATAGGAAACCCATATATTCGAGAATAAAGACATATAAAGATCATTGATGCAATCAGTGTACATCTCAGGCCTCAGTTGGGTGCCACTCTGAACGTCATTGCGACTGCCCACGTTGGCCAACTCCGCTTTGCCCGGAGTGACCAGCAGGACAATATGAAACCCTGATGTGTTGAATGATTTGACATTGGATGGGCTGCCAAGTTCTCAATGGTGTCTTTCTTAAGTTGTTTGCGCCAAAACGCGAGAAACACAACACAGTTGAAGCATTAGCAGTTTTTCCTTGCCACTCCCGAGGTTCCCCGCAAACACAAGTTTTCCTTTTGGTTGCGCTCGCTGCCCCAGGAACAGCAAATGAATTGGAAGGCCAGACTTGCGGGAAAGGAAGCCTTAGCGATTCTGCAGTCTGTACGAGGCCTAGAAGGATGTGCTGCATCGGAGTACTCAGAGATTTGGAGGGATGGCTTGCAGAGTCTTCGAAATCATCAACATCACCATCACCTTCGCCTTCGTTTGTGTCTTCTTCACGCATCATCAATCATCAATAATTATTCATCAATCACCAATAATCAGTCATCATCAACATCATCAGCATCACCATGACCTTCGTCTTCATCATCATCATATTTATCATCTTCTTCGTCTTCTTCATCATCTTTATCATCTTCATCATATTCATCATCTTTATCATATTCTTCGTCTTCGTCATCATCTTTATCATCTTATTCGTCTTCTTCATCTTGTTCACCTTGTTCGTCCTCATCTTTATCTTGATCTGGATATTCATCTTCATCTTTATCTTTATCATCATCATCATCATCATCATCACCATCATCATCATCATCATCATCATGATTTTCATCATCAACATCACCATCACCTTCGTTTTCGTCTTCTTCATTATCGGTTTTCCTTCATCAGAATCACCATCACCCTCGCCCGTCCTCATGGTCGTCTTCAGGTTTATCTTTACCTTCATAATCCTTATCTTTATCTTCACCTTCGGGTTCATCAACATCTTCAGTTTCAGGTTCATTGACATGAACATCAACAGCGGTACAACAAGGCCATGCACCACTTTACTGTATAATTCAGAAAATAGCACTGTGTTTTGCCCTAGAGTGTCTGAGCGAAGGGTTCTTAACATCTTTAGTGCAAACATCTTCACATCTTCGCATCTGATATCTGAGCATCTTACATCCGTGCATCTTATATTTGCGCATCTTACACCGGCGCATTTTACACTTGCACATCCTTCATCTGCAGTTCTTACATTGCAAATCTTGCATCTGCACATCTAACATCTGCTCATCTGCACATCTGCCCATCTGCCCATCTTACATCTGCACATCTTCTCTTCTCTTCTCTCTCTTGCCTCTCTTGCCTCTCTTGTCCCTCTTGTCTTTCTTCTCTCTTGTCTCTCTTGAATCTTCTCTATCTTGTTTCTCTTCTCTCTTCTATCAACTTCTATCAACTTCTATCAACTTCTATCAACTTCTATCAACTTCTATCAACTTCTATCAACCTCTATATCAACTTCTATCAACTTCTATCAACTTCTATCAACTTCTATCAACGTCTATCAACTTCTATCAACTTCTTTCTCTTCTCTTTCTCTTCTCTTTCTCTTCTCTTTCTCTTCTCTTTCTCTTCTCTTTCTCTTCTCTTTCTCTTCTCTTTCTCTTCTCTTTCTCTTCTCTTTCTCTTCTCTTTCTCTTTCTCTTCTCTTCCTCTTCTCTTTCTCTCTCTCTTTTCCTTTTCTCTCCTTTTCTCTCCTTTTCTCTCCTTTTCTCTCCTTTTCTCTCCTTTTCTCTCCTTTTCTCTCCTTTTCTCTCCTTTTCTCTCCTTTTCTCTCCTTTTCTCTCCTTTTCTCTCCTGTTCTCTCCTGTTCTCTCCTTTTCTTTCCTTTTCTCTCCTTTTCTCTCCTTTTCTCTCCTTTTCTCTCCTTTTCTCTCCGTCTCTCTCCGTCTCTCTCTCTTTCTCTCTCCTTCTCTCTGCTTCTCTCTCTCTCTCTCTTTCTCTCTCCTTCTCTCTCCTTCTCTCTCTTTCTTTCTCCTTCTCTCTCCTTCTCTCTCCTTCTCTCTGCTTCTCTCTCCTTCTCTCTCCTTCTCTCTCCTTCTCTCTCCTTCTCTCTCCTTCTCTCTCCTTCTCTCTCTCTTTCTCTCTCCTTCTCTCTCCTTCTCTCTCTTTCTTTCTCCTTCTCTCTCCTTCTGTCTCCTTCTCTCTCCTTCTCTCTCCTTCTCTCTCCTTCTCTCTCCTTGTCTCTCCTTCTCTCTCCTTCTCTCTCCTTCTCTCTCTCTTTCTCTCTCCTTCTCTCTCCTTCTCTCTCCTTCTCTGTGTATATGTGCATCGATGTATGTATGTCTCGCGCCGCGATTCTGTAAGGATGACGTTTCTTCGTTCGGATCCTTTTACTTGCATACTTAGATTCAGTTCATTCATCACAAAGTACTTGTGTTCTTTTGCACTCTTGGGCCATCCGTCGTCTAGTTTTATCATTTCATGGCCGAGGTTGGGGATCGCGTGGGCGAAGCCAGTGCTCTGAAGAGTTTGGCCTCGGCATTTCTGAATTACGGAAATGCTGCTGAGGCGCAATGCCAGTGGTTGTTTTTTGGTCTGTAACACCTTGTTTTTGATGGTTTTGGAAACAGCATCAAGACAGTCAAGACACCACTAAGACACTCAAAAGTCCATGGTTTCAATGGCCAATGGTTCTTGTTCAGTTGCTGAGTCTTTTCTGATGCGCCTGGATGTCGGATTTCGAGGCTCGTTCCAAAGCGAAACAAGCTGTGGAGATTGGCAAGGCGGGCTCCTGTCGAGCAGACGGAATTGATGTCAATGAGCAAGCGAAGCTACTGACCATTCGCAGCTGCAAGATATAGTGGCAACTATCGCAGTGTCATGCTGTGAGGAGATTGGCAACAAGCAGATCGAAGGTGAGAATTTGCTGCTTGTAGCACAAACCAAGATACATGAGAACAAGGCTGGAATCTGGGGACGGCCAGATGTGGTGCCAGTCAGTTCCAATCCTTCGCCCATCTTTTGAAGTAGGAAAAACGGGTAATGGATTCCCCCGGTTGAAGTCCTTGATTTATTCCTCAACTTCTGCAATCACATCATCGCAGAATAAAACTCGCAACATCTCAAGGGTTAGATGATGCTAACCTTTTTCCACGCTGTTTTCCAGGAGGAGGGTGCCCGCTTAGCACGGCTGTCCGAAAAATTGCTTCGGGAAGCAGGCGCCGCCGAACCGTAGAAGATCGTGGAAGATCTTCAGAATTGAAGCGCTGTTGCTTTTTGAATTATGGGGGTGATACTACCCAATGTTACTCAATATATCCGGGATCATTACTATATATATATTCTATTGTTATAGGATTTCCCTATGTATATCCCGTTCTTACCCAGTCTCAATTCTACATGAAAGTATCTGAGGCGTTGCATCCGCAGCACGAAATGCTGGTGACGTGCACGACTTCATTCGTGGCTATGGAAGTGCTCCCAAGCACCTTCACCTTCACAATGACTTGTGGGGAGAGTTTCTGAATATTGCTTGATGTCACATGGAAAGCACATAAACATAGAAAAACTGATCAAAAGATGTTAAAAGAAGTCAACAGATTTAGACACATTTGGATTTAGGATGATTTAGGATAACTCAGGAACAGCTTGAAACGCCTTGGTGTTGAGTTGTCGTCTGGCATTCCCTTCTAAGGGAAGCAAAGAAGAAGGGTCTAGCGCAGCCAGCCGATTTGAAGACTGACATCACGTTGGACATGGAGGACAGAATTCGCTGATGAAATTATAAAGGGATCACAGCACTAAGAGCCTGGACTGACTTGGTAATAATTTGGCCTTCTACCTTTGACCTCCCAGCAGGATACAAAACATCGTCTCGCATACTTCCACGGTCAGCCCGACTTCTTGTGTGCGATGTGTGGCCTGCGTTGGATTGGATTGGATTGGACATCTCTGGCAAGAGCATACATGGCATACATGTGCTAATACTAAGGCTTACTAAGGGCTGTAATTCGTTGATGTTGTAGAATGTTGTGGAGACTGGACCTAGCATAGTACCCTTTAGCACCCTAAGATTTCGCAAACTTTTTGCATGAGATAAGAATGTGGTCCCAGCCCCTTGAAGCACCACCAGGTTTCACAGCTCGCTCTGTTCGTCCTCGTTCGTGAAGTGGTGCCCAGTTGGATCAGTCGGGGAATGTTTATCAAGCTGCAGATTGGCGCAAAGTGACAAGTGTAAATTTCATATTTTTTTGTGCCTGAATGATTTTGGAGGGTGAGTACTTCAATGATGTTCCAAGAGCTTTCTGCGCAGGTGGTGTGAACCGCACATATCCTGGTGCTGCAAGGGCTATGCTTTGGATTCTTCCTTGGAAGCGCCTGTCAAAAGAGATCCGCCATTCGGCAGTTTCCGAAGATTTGTGATGCGTTCGTGACTTGACATATTGCACGAAGAACTGGACCTCGGGCCACTGCTCAAGACAAGGTTCCAAAAATCCAAAGCTTGACAGCAACAACAAGTATATATATACTGTACATATAGATCCAGAAGCTATGTGAGGTTCATCGAGCTAAATTGCTGGAGCACAGATCAGAGCGCAGTGTCAGGAGTTTTTCTTGTTCCTTATCCATTCTTGTTTCTTACAGACAGATGCAGTTTAGTTCGAGCAAAGCCGCATCCTGTGCTACTGTTGGTGCTTGGTAAATAGTGCGACAACCTACACAAGCAGATCAATTTGCGCGCACACTACCTTTGTGATGGCCTGAAGTCATGCTCATCAGCCAAGATGCAGCTGCCAGGTGCTAAGTGAGGTGAGTAGTGGAAAAGCTGTTATCTTTGGGACGGGAAGAAAAGTTCCATATGTTTTTTGAAGTTTCTTGGAAAAGTTTTTTTTGGCTCTTTTCTGAAAAGAACTTGATAGTCCACAACTCTGTCAGATCACTTCTGGTGGCCACCCTTCTGTAGCAATTCCATCCTTGCAGTGTGGGTCATATGTCCATGATCAAACACTCCAACAAATAACCAACAAAAAATCCAGGTGGTTGGTGCTGATGGAATTCAAATCCACTAATTAGACAATTAGATCTCCTAATAAGCATAGAATAGTACGGAAAAGGATGACAGAAGTTTTTGGGCACCCCATGGCACCGCTAATATTTTGTTTGAAACAGTAACATCATGGATATTTATGGTGATTTTGTTTGGATTTTTGATGGCGATTTGGAGTTCTCATGGAGATTGAGGTCAGAGCTCCTTGTGTGGCTGAGTCCATCTCTGAGTGCAAGTGTCAAAGGGCAACCGAAGATCACTTGCCCAGTGGTCCGAGGATATATTGGTAGTTTTTTTGGGAGATACAGAATGACAACTGAACCAAATGTGGCATGATGATGATGATGATGATGATGATGATGAGGACGACGACGACGACGACTTGTAACTCTGTATATTATGTAAGATTATGTTCCTGAACCATCCTTTCGTCCATTGTAAGATATCGACGTCGAATCGGTGGTCGCCTGAATCCGATGACAGCTGCTTGGCTTTGAGGTTTCAGCTTGCTCTTGGCCGCCTGGGCCGAGCCGGTGAAGGCGAAGAGGAAAGGCCCAGCGCAGCGGAAGATTCCTGTGGCTCGGCTCCGGATGGTGGTCACTGGTGAAATCAGACGTCGTTTCATTGATAGAATCTCTAGAATTCTCTAGATATTTCTAGCATTTCGTGGCGATTGACTCGCACCTACAGCACCTTTTTCCTTCCTGCAGGGGCCTTCCATTTGTAGATTTTTGAGTTATTGAGTAAGAATCAGATGAATTCTACTAAAAGAGTGGTATATAAAAATTGTGTTTCCATCTTGTTGGGGATAACCAATATACGTCAGAATTTCGGAATGGACCATTGACAGAAATGGATTGTGGAGGTTTGGAGGGTGTGGATGTGACACTCCGCCGTACTTCGATTCTCGCGGAACAAGAATTGCACCCTGACGGCACACCTTTTTGGACAGCTTTTGGAACATGTTGGATGATTTGGGTTTGAGATACCTCCAATTTGAAGGCACATCCCATTCATTATTGCGTTCCCCATGTCATTTGACATCAGATGCGCTTACCCAGGGGCGGAGCTTCACGATGGGCGGCGACGAGCTTTCTGGAGCCCCAGGGACCAAGCAAGTGTCATTGGAGGTGCACAGCCGTGCAGCTTTGGCCTATGTGGCTAGAGGGGTCCTTTTTTCATTGGGAAGCATGCCTAACTTTGAAGAGAGGGAATCTTGATGTCGAAGTCCGGAGGCTGGCTTGTGACAGGCGTACAGCATAGATGAGACACCTGTCACCAATGCACAGTTCCGTGAGTTCGTGAAGGAAACCAAATACAGGACTGGGTTGAATCACTGCTTTGTTTTGCAGCTTTCTGTGCCCCAGGCTCTAAGAAGTTGGTAGCCATCCTTTCCACGAGGGCGCTAATCCCGCGGATGTTTTTTGGTGCAGGACTGATGCTGAGAAGTATGGCTGGAGCTTCGTTCTGAACAGCTCCCTGAGCAAGGTGCCAGGGAAGCGAAGGGAATTTGAACAACCAGCTTGCAACATTTGATGGAGTCGTGCAGCTGATCCCTGCAGGAAGTGCTGGCAGAATCGGAGCAGCACATCCAGGATGCACCTCAATGGGTTGGAAGCACAGCTGTAGCCGCCCATGGGTTCCATGTCCCCAGGTAGTGACGAGTTGCGGACTATAACCACACATGTATGTATAATTATACATTACATACATTTATATACATAGTATATATATATATACACGTATACATAGTATATATATATATATATACGATGTATATATTTATAGCTAGTTCGCGGTTTCAGCGCTTTGAGGTTGCTGTCTTGAATGCCTGGTGGCGGCATCCAGAAGGGTTGAGGGCTTGGAGCTCTTGATGTTGGAAAAACCTTACCACTCCGTCCACTGGGGGAAGATTGTTTCAAGATGTTCTTGCCCTTTGTTCTTTTTTTGCTTGACATATTGACATTTGGATGGAACATAACAAAATAAAGCAATTCCCCAAACACATGAAACACGATCAACATGATCAACATGCCTGTCAATGTGAAGAGACGAGCTGTGGGGTTACGCCATGGTTATGCACCAATTTTGATGATCCATTTTTCAATGCCATGGATAGCATCTCCCAGATTCTGAGGCGGGACTCCTCCCTGAAGGATAGGTGGAAAGACTACCCTGCTGTGCACATGAGCTGGAATGACGCGACAGCCAAATGCTTGATACACAGCAGTGGGGAAACAGATTCATGGATTCTTTCCAAACTGCTTGAGAAGTTTCTGTTTAGCTATTCTCAGATATTCCGATGTATTGTGACTGCGTCCAATTCCGAGTTCTCTTTCTCTCGATTCCCTGAGGCCTTCTGCAAGTGGGCGGGCAAGAGATTGCCCACGGAGGCGAGCCATGACAGCCATGGCAGCTATGACAGCCATGGCAGCTATGACAGCCGTGGTACCCCCCATAGCGCCATCCCTACCGCGCCCTACGGCCCTGCGGCCCTGCCGATTGGTAGGCGGAGTGGGAGAACGCTGCCAGAGGAAAGAAGAAAGAGTGCGACCCCCAGGTGATTATAATAGTTTCACGAGGAGAGATAACTGCAGTGTGAGTTTCATCCATCAGGAACTTCTTAGTTGTTCTCTTTTGTCTCCAACTAAGGTCCCTGTATCCATGGGAAGGCAAGGACTTCCTTGGTCCTGACGGAAGGCCAGGGTTCAGTTTCAATAATTTCCACTACTTGTAGAAGACATGGTGGGTCTGATGTCCTGCATGGTTTGTACTGTAAAGACTTTTGGATTCCAGGTGGGTCATTCCAAAGATTTCCCATGGTCTCAGGTGGATGATGAACATTTGGCAGGGCCTCTTCCCTTTTGAAAACCTGGCGGAGGCAAGCCGCAAGCCCTTGGTCGTGCCAGTGTTTCATGCACGTTTCATGGCCACCGTGGTCACCTTGCCAGGATGGATACCATGGCATCAGCCCTGTGAAGGCGGGGATTTGTGGAGTCGTTTTGGGATACCCATGTCGTTCATGGACCTGGGACACGCAGCGCGACTAGAGATTCAGTTTCAGTGCTGCAGAACTTGCGCGGCCCCATGGCGTTCTTTGGAACTGCGATGCAGACTAATTCACCAGAATACATCTGCTGTGAGGCATTTCCTGCCAACTCCTATGGAGTGTTTTCCACTGCCATGGACTGAGTTGGCAACGCAGGAAAGGGTGGCAGCAGATCACAGGGCTATCACAACTGAGGTTGGCAATGTCTGGGAATGGACATCGGATCCATTCCCTGGGAGGCAACCTGACCGCAGCGCCGGGGGTAATGAAGAGTTGCCGGGTTGCTTTACAATCTCATGGGTGATCCCAGTGATCCCAGTGGTCCCAGTGATCCCAGTGGTTTTCTTTTTTGGGTGGATGCCTATCGAGGTAAGATCTGTAGGTCTCCTCGGCCAAACGACATAAATTTTCCTAGGCCCGATGAGGAGGAGAAGTGGATCCTAAAGGGCGGTTCCTTTCTCGACAGCGCCACCGGAGATTTTAACCACAAGGCTTGTCTACATTGAGCAGCGATGGTCATCTACAGCTGTTATTTGCCGTTGGGGGATGTTTTTTGGATACCCAACTAATTCATTGTGCATCTCGAATCCTTTGTTCTCATAAACAGATAAACATAGATAAACACATCAAGAGAAACCTGAATTTGGCATTTTGATCATTTTGCCAAATTTACTTCGCAGGGACATGGTGACCATTGGTGTTTCTCTTTGGGACGCTTGGAATCTTCCTTCGACAGGCGACAGTGGTGACTCGTATGGGCAACACGGCAGACAGTGGAAGTTACAACACGGGCTTCCGCTGCGCCACTGCCTCAAATCGACCAAAGCAACAATTTCAGAGAGTCCGACTCAGTCAAGTCAAGAACTCTTTGGCGAGACTTTGTGAATCGAATGGAGCACATGAGAATGTACGACAGGTAAATTCACTTGTAAAACTGTATAACATTTGACATCTTGATGAAGTTGGGACTACTCGTGCATTCCTCAACTTAAATCGTGCCTCCTTTGCACCGCCTTCCGAGGCCAGCGGCAAAGGTGGAGGTGGTAGAAAACGACCACCTGATCAAAAGATGCTGGAAAAGCTGGCTGAGGCAGTTGAGCTGCTCCAAAGAATCAATTTTCAGAGTCTTGTATGTGGAACTGCACTTTGGAGATACACCATTTATCATGCACGCAATTCATGCACAATTCATCCATCATTTTCCCTGGTCAGGAGGGTGGCATTGAAGCTGTTCAAGAGTACCTGAAGAGTACGGGCTCCAACGCACAGGTGTGTCTCTGTGATACCGGGAAGAATCTGAGATGCTTCTAGGAGTGAATCAAAATTGCCATACATATTATACTGTAAATACATGCATTTATATGATTTACATGATTTATATGATTTATATGATTTATATGATTTATATGATTTATATGATTTATATGATTTACATGATTTATATGATTTATATGATTTATATGATTTATATGATTTATATGATTTATATGATTTACATGATTTACATGATTTATATGATTTATATGATTTATATGATTTATATGATTTATATGATTTATATGATTTATATGATTTATATGATTTATATGATTTATATGATTTATATGATTTATATGATTTGCATGATTTATATGATTTATATGATTTATATGATTTATATGATTTATATGATTTATATGATTTATATGATTTATATGATTTATATGATTTATATGATTTATATCATCCATATCATATCATCCAGTCTGCCCAGTTCCATCTGTAATTCTTTCAGTTTACATCTTGCTGTGTCGCCAGGTTTTTACGCCCTCCGAGCTGCAGAAGAAGAGAGACAAGTTGAAGGACGCGTTGCTGTTTGGAAACTGTTTGGAACATTGGGACGGATCAACAAGCTGTAACAAGCTGTTATGAATTTTCCCATCCGGAATGACCTGAATGGCGTGAACATGCATTAAAAATGAATCGTTTTGATGTGAATTCACGGTGCTATAGCTTTTTACATGTAGTAACACTGCTTTTGGATGCTTTTTGGTATATTGTCATTTTCAGCAGAGCGGCTAGATGTGGCTTGTGTCTGACATCGCTGGTGCGTTGATCGAGGAGTCGATGGAAGAGCTGTGAGTGGAAAACAGCCCCGGGCAGCGGGAGTGATCAGATGGGTAGTTTTGGGAAACGCCCTCCACACCTTTCAACTTGGCCAAATTGTGGTGCCAATCCGTGTGACCGATCTGGCCTTTTGGGCTCCCAGCTTGGCAGATGGCAGGGGAACATGGATCAAAATGGTGAACAATGCGATGAATCTCTTGTCTCATATCATAATTTCAACTAACCTTTGTATTTCCCACTTCCATTTGTGGCTTTGCAACAAGATAGATAAGATAGATTCAGATAGATAAGCCATAGCCATCCATAGCCTATCATAGACTCATTGGGATCTTCCACATCCACGGGATACGGCCTTTCCAAGCGACGCTCATGGCGCCCATCTCCCCGAGCCAGCGATCTGTGGCTTCATCCAGGTTGAAATTCCCATGGGATTTTCGTGTTTTTTTCCATGGTGTTTCCATGGTTTTTCGATCGTTTGTCCCACCATAATACCATAAAATATCATAAAATACCACGAAAAAACACCATAAAATACCAATGATGTGAGGGCCCCATATGGTGGACATGGGTTTGGAATGGTTTGGAGAGATGTTTAAAACATGACGGCGTCACGATTAAATTTAAACATGACCAAATGCGTTCCGTCTCGGCAGAAAGTAATGCCTTGAGAGTTAGACCTCCAGGTTAGAACGTGGATCCACGGGCTCCGAGACCAATTCCGAGGTTCGCGGTTGGACAAAGTCTGACAAAGTCCATTGAGAGTAGCGCTGTGAAATCGTGCCATTGGAAAGCAATGTACCATTTGACCAAAGTTGAACATGTTTTCATTCCTTTCGCCACTGACGTGGCTCAAGGGACGCATGTTGCGTCATGCAGTAAAACAGGTGCTCGTGTGTGGAACCCCAGCCAGCTTAACAGTTGGTAACCGGAGCAATGGCGACCGTTGACTTGAACACCCTGGATGGGACTGCTGAGGACCCAGACGAGCTAGGTAGAACTGCAGGTGACGACATGAGGCCTAGTAGTAGGAGAAGTGAGCAAGAAGAAGAGACATGGCAGTCATGGAGTTGGTCTAGGTGGAACTGGTGGGACTCATGGGACACTAGGCCACGAGACCATAGCTATATGACAGTGGTTGGAGCTAGAATGTCGAGCGGGGTCACTTCTAGCGCCTCACAGACTGAATCAGGGACAGATCCTTGGGTCAGTGGTGGGGATCCTTGGGGCACTGCCAATAGCTCCTCCATGGGTGCTGCAGAGAACACTATGCCGGCCTCTATGTCTTCTACACCTTCACCAGACCTGCGTGGTCCAGATCAGCCCGCTCCTGGAGGTAGATGGAGCTGGTCAGACCGCGACTGGCAGCGCGGAGGGTGGTCAGATGGAGGATGGAACCCCGGCTACAAGCCGGACTATGCCGATCCACCGGCCTTCCCAGGCTGGAGCCATAGACGTTTGTGGGTGCAAGCTGTGCGCCGATGGGACAAGCAGACTGATGTGCCTGTCCATCGACGAGCTGAGAAGCTTCTGCGAACGTTTGGATGGGAGATGCAGGTGGACTTCGAGCACCTTGGGGAAGATATCCTGGCGTCGCCCGCCTACTTGGATGCCATCATTGAGGTGATGAACAACAAGGCTGGCGTCCGAGAGGACGATGAGAAGAGAAGGGCCTATCGATTGGCCATAGTGGAAAACCAGCGGCGCAGGGATGAAACCTTGGCTCAATTCTCAGTCCGTCGTCTTCAAGACTTTCGTGCGGCAGCGGCTTATGGCATTCAGCTTCCTGGAGAGCTGAAGGCGATGCTTCTTCGAGAAGGTGCTGGTCTGTCTGACCAGAGTCAGCAGAACTTGACTCAGGGCCGTGAGAATGAACCGGAGATTGTGGCGAAGGCATTGGGGCGCATGGATGTGCGTCACGACAGGCTGACTGCCTTCACCGACGAGGTCCCGGTGGAGCACTCCTATGTGGTTGAGAATGACGACGTCTCGGCCGATGAGGAGTCCCTTGACGATGCGGAGGTGCTGAAGGAGCTGGACCCCCTGGACCTGAATGAGGATCAGATCACTGAGGTCTTTGCGGTGCTAGAACAGCGGCGTCGCACTTGGCGCGAGAACAAGCTCTTCAAGGCCAGCATGAAGAAAGACAGGGGCTCTTTCGTGAAGGACGGCCACAACTCGCATCCCAGGGGACAGGCGGGTGGTGTTCCTGGTGCCTCCAAGGAGCCTCCTCGTGGTCGTCTCAACCGAGAGCAATTGAAGAAGATCAGTCGATGCCGCCTTTGCAACAAGAAGGGGCACTGGGCTGAGGACTGCAATTTGAAGAGGAAACCACAGGCAGCACCATCAGGGTTCTCCTATGGCGGTGGCGATGGCTCTTTCATCAACTCAGCCTTTACCTTCCTGAACGTGAGGGACTTGCGCGAGGTGGTGGATACGGTCATCAGAGCACAGGACAGTTGGTCCTTCTTGTCGCTGCCATGTGGAGAGGCGATCGTGGACACTGGCGCAACCCAGGATCTCATCGGGTCCAGGGCGTTGACGGAGCTGACTGAAGCTCTGCGAATGGTGGGCTTACAGCCCATCAAAGTTGACAGCCCTGTGATCACTCCGGCTGGGATTGGCGGCTCCGCCAAGGCTTTGCATGTGGTCTTGGTTCCAATTGCCATCGAGGGCCAAACGGGGGTGCTTGAAATGACCGTGCTGGATGGGCACATTCCACCCTTGCTCTCGGTGGGCTTCTTGGAGTTCTTGAAGGCGAGATTTGATTTGGAGAGCAACAAGATGGAGCTGCGGGCCTTAGGCGTAGAACTTGTAATGAAGAAGCTTCCCACTGGTCACAGGACCATTCCATTGAACTCTTGGAAAGGGGGACATTTTCCAGTCCCGGAAGCTGTTTTGCAGAAATATGGCTTGAGTGACAGCGCCTTCAATGTTTCTGGCGTTTCGTGCGCGTACACAAAGCTTGCAGCGGACCGACAGACTGAGCATGTTATGATCAATTTTGAAAGTCAGGGTGTTCACAACCAGAGATTTGAAACTGAGCCCAATGAAAACTCCAATTATCATTTAAACGATGTGAGCGTTTCAGATGGTATTAGCCTTTTTCCATCACGTTTGCATGCTGCAGCTGCCAATGAGTCGGTCGTCAAGTGTTGCGAGAGGCTGAAGGTTCAAGGTGCTGAGGATTTTGGCATGTCACAGCACGAGCTTGGTCATGAGAACAGTTTGATGTCAGTGCAATCACTTGAGAACAGTCTGATGTCAGTGCAATCACATGGGACACCTGGGACACATGGGACACTTGGGACACATGGGACACATGAGACACACTGGACTTCATTGGATCAATCACGTAGGCATGCAGGTGGAGGTACAATCATGTCGGCATGTCCACACGTTTCAAAAGAGCATGGTGCTGATCCACAGTGCCAGCAGTTTGAAGTTTCAAAGTGCCCTATGGGTTGCAGACAGAGCAACCACAAATTCGATACTCCGAAGTCTCGCGATGGAACACAGCTCTCGCCCGAGCCTCGAGACCTCGGATCAGCGCTCATGGCGTCGCACCAATCTGTGGGTGCGCCTCATGGAAGTGATCTTCGGTGTGTGGGAGAGTGCGCGCCGTCAGTTTATGCAGCTAGCCAGAGCCGAGCTGAGGACCAAGGCCAATCAGAGCTTGAAGCAGCTGAGTCATCCGGGGCATCAAGTCGGGTACTGCCTTCACCCGCCAGCCTTGGTGATCAACCGCTCCAATCAGTACGCCATGTGGAGCGTATGCAGCAAGTGCCAAGCGAGGTTGACCTACCACTCCAAGAGGCACCATGGGGCCAAGGCCAAAGCCTCGCCAGCTCGTTCAAGCACCCCCATGGAGCCCATGTACCGGCCTCCGGACGAGCCATTTACTCCAGCAAGGAGGACGGCGACACCGGGAGGCAGTTCCGCCCCTCACGAGTCCACAGTGATCCTACAGGAAGCCCTGCAGAACTTCCAGCTTCAGAACTCCCAACTGGGTCATGCCCTGCTGCAGGTGAACGAGTCCCTCCGAGAGCTGTCTCAGGGGCCGTCGCACATGATCATGATGATGGGCAGTGCGGCCATTCCTGCACAGGCGACGGGACCCAATGGAGTGGAGCTCCCACCGGAGGACCAGCGCATGGAGGGTTGGTCTCCAGTGCACGACACGACAGAGACGAGCTTCGAGACCTCCAACCCCAACGAGACCATGTGAAGACAGCCTGGCCAGCCTGGATGCTGGCAGTTGGTGTGGTGGCATCATCAACCATCCTGACTTGGCCTCAGTGTTCGTCAGAGTTTCAACAGTGTTTGAGAGAGAAGGGCGTATCAGAAGAGTACTATATGTTTCAGTATGACTTGGGACGGGGTTCCCTTGAAGGTGACAGAAGCTATGGTTCAACAACTCTCTCTCAAGACCTTCCCGACGATCACGTTCGTCTTCGTCCTGGTGTATTCCAAGGTGCTCAAGAATGTCTTGACCCTAAAGTATGCGGTCGTGACACAGAATGTCCTCCTGATCCAGTATGCCCAGGTCTTAAAGAATGCCCACTCTTGACTGAGTTTATGGCGAACCCAATGACCAACGCCCTCTTGGTGACTCCATCTTGGCTGCCAAGTTTTGCACAGCAAAGACAAGGGCATCGGCTTCAAACGAAGGTGCTGGAGGAGGAAGTGAAAGGTGATTGGTGCCCGATGTGGAGGCGAGTGGTAGACAGCCCAGGACCTCATCAACCACTGGACTTTGAAAGACCTTTGGATTTGTGGGTCTGTTGGTGGGGCCTCCCTTTGGACTTCGTCAAGCTGTCCGCCTTTTCATCACATGCTGTCCTCCCCATCCAGGTTGAGATCTCCAGTGGGGGCCCGGTCAATCCGACAATTTGGGCTTTCCACACTTATCAGCTGGACGAGGAAAGCTTGGATCTGGATCAGAGGGCCAGTCAGCAGGACGGCCAGCAATCAGACATCAAGCGATGCATTTCCAGCTTGACTTTGATGGCACAGCAGTCTCGCCTGAGGGGGCACCAACACGTGGACTTTGTCGAGCTCTTCTCCCCTCGTCGTGTTGCTCCCCACGCGATCAACCTTGGACTCAAGGTGGATCAGCAGATCTTTGACCTTACGGCCGGTTGGGACGTCAGAAGGAAG